TAATGGGAATTTTCCTTCATAAAATAGCTACAATACGTCGACTAAATAAGAAAAATAAGAATATAAAATTTGTTGATTTTGCCGAATGTTACAGTAAAATATTTATAAATAATGAATCAAGAATAATAAATTATGAAGACACGCATAATATTGAATACCATTAATTGCACTATTAATCGCGAATGTAAAGTCAAGACATTTTTATGTTATCGTTATATTATACGGCGAAAATTTTTTTTCAATAACGCCAATTTTAAATAGCAATCAACCCATTTTTTTGTAAATTAATCGACGGAGAAGGTCTTACATAAGCAACTAAAATCATAGCTTCTCTCGAAGCGGTTCTAACTGCATTTTTGCGAAATGGCGCAAGTAAGTACCTGCAAGACGTTTCAGTGGTGTGTATCCGGTTGATTGAAGGTATTCGCGCTTTTCAATTGTATTGAACTCGTTAAGCATTACTCAACGCTCTAATAAACACGCGACTCGGTAAGGTGCCTAATTGCGAAACACGATGTTTAATAACATACGTTAACATAGTAGATCGGCTAAGTATACAATGACAGTACGCGACGATTCTTTCCCAAACGACCGTTATTACTTTTAAAAATGTCGATTATTTGAACAAATAAGATAATATACATATATCATATAAAATAAAAATGCAATTAAATTTTTCAAAACAGGAGAGAACAGCAAAATGTAACGCTTTCTATATTGCACGGAATTCGAATAAATTATTAATAAAGAATTATACATGTATACAGTATTTTCTATGCAATTTTTAAATTGCAATCCACATTAAAAAAAATTTTTTAATACTAGATAGATTACATGTAATTTTATTTTCTATTGAGAAATTGGTAATTAAAAAGATTCAAAATTAATTTAATTGACGTTTCCATAGACTTCTTTTCCTCCTTTTTGTTATAGCTTGATTAAATAAACGCCGATAACATAATCGTACAGTTATTTTTATTCGTTACGTCTTTTATCAACGAGCGAAAAATTAAAATATTAACGTAAACGTTGCGAGAGTGAAATTGAAACCTTAATAAGAGAGAAAAAAGGTAGGCTGTGAGGAGATCATGGTGTGTGTGATTTCAATAAAAACTACATTAAACGACGATTAAAGTTGCATTGAAAAATTCGTAGAGCGCTTCCTCCGCCAAAAGGAGCAGGTACGACGACGACGCGACGTGTGGTTGCGGCGCGCCTCGTCGGCCGTGTGTAAACCATTTACGTAACGGCGCGAGATACGCCGTATTTCGATGATTAACAATTTGTTTTGCGATCGGCAAAGGTGACTCTTTGTACGGCACAAATACCTTACGTAAGACAGCAGATAAACGCGCGTATGCAGCTGGAGATTAAGCGTGCGCGGCTTTTCGGATTTCGAGACGAGACGCGATCAGTTTTCGACCGCATCCTCCGCAACGATCGCCGTGTTTTATAGACTGAATGAAACGCTAGACTGCCAAACGCGTATATTGTTTCTTGTTATGCATTTCCACATGAAATTTTTCGTATAGTGACTTATTTTCTTGCCCACATTTTGAGTCATTAAATTAAAGTGTGTACATGAGCAAAGCAAGGACACTAATCAATAAACTTTTAAGGTATAAAGTATTAGCTAAAGGCATAATTCTCACTGTTTTCATCTCGTATTAATTAGAAAATAAATTTATACGTAGAATGCAAAACAGTTATGAAAAACTGTGACAAAGGTGTGTCACTACAAATTCAGTAAATACTACTATACTTGTTAAAATTGTAATATATAATATATATTACAATACCGATAAATTGAAATAACACGAGAATTTAATTTATCAATAATTTTTATAAATCAAGTAAATTTCAATTACTTATTTCTCAAATATTTACTTGCATACTTAATTAATTCCATTGTTAAATAACAAAATATTTCGAGCAATCATGTAAGAATATGCAGTATCAATAAGCGCATTTATTATTCCGACTGTTGACAATCATCCATTTCATATCCTGGCAGAACGATTATGCGCATAATTTTAAACGCAATTAAATCGCATAGCATAAATGACAAATAGGGGTGATAAAGAAGCAGTTGTTACAGCTCTCTTGATTTAAAACAAAAAGAAGATGCATAAAGGCTTCGAAATATTATTGTATATACATGTATACACGTATAATATAACTACATCCCTTAAAAATATATACTAGAAAAAGTATTAATCTAAATACATTATCATATAAAAATTATTTAAACAACTAATTTGAATAATGATATAAGTATTATTACGATTAAATTAAATTAACATTAGATTAATATTATTTTAATTTACTGCTGTTTGCATTACTTGTAATTTACTTGTGATAAATAATTTGATCTAAATTGCAACTGTTTAAAATATACGCGAACTATCAATTGAACAATCATACATTTAAAAAATGGGTTAGAAGGTTACAAAATTTTCTTATTGCTAGATTATTGTTATATTAGATTCATATAATTACTTTAACAAAACACATTTTATTATTTAAATAATTAATGCGCGCGCGCTATTGATTTAAAAAATTAGAACTATAAAGCAATCAAAGTGATTCTTTTCAAATTCATAAAGATATATTTTTTGAAATTTTCCACGATTTTTATAAGCATTTTAGAGCATTCTTTATAAGCATTTTAAAAACAAAATATTGATATGTATTTACATTTTTAGAAGGAATAAGTATTTCATTTTTTATATTCAATTTGTATAACTATATCTTGTTTAAAATTTTTCAAATTTTTTTATTTACATATAAAAGGTAAAGGTGATTTTAAATAGAGCCATTCCTTTTTAAATTTTAAAACAACAAAAGAGAACACTCCATAGATAGACGGTAGGAACAAGAGAGGTTAATCACCTCGTGAACTCGCCATATATTGATCTCTTATTCTTCGTCACCCTTTCCCTTACTGTCTCCGCGGTATGCAGTTCAGCCCTCTCCTTCCATTTCGGAGAAGGGTCCTGTGGCGTCTGCGTACTCCCTTTACGCACATGCGTGCATCTACACGAACCAGACAAACGTGATATCTCGGGATAAAGTTACTTCTCATGCTCAGTGAGAACTCTGGAAACTAGAAGACTGACATTTGCCAGTGAAAAGCGGTTTATTCCTTATAAAGAATCGTCATACTTGCTTCACATCGCTATATATCGACAATGCAATCACGCTCTTTCTTCCTGTGACACGCCATCGTTCAGTTTGCGCACATCCGACTTGATTTCGACGAGACCATTCCCGTCGGAAGAACCCGGTCGATCGAGCTAAAGTTATAACAATAGTATCCAGGAAGGTATCTTGTAAAATTCGCGGAATTTAATGTAATAAAAATTATTTGTAATTGTGGTTCTTGATACAAAAACAATTCTGACAAGAGCGATTGCGTGGATGCGAAGGATATATGAATGGGGTACCGAAGCGATTTTTAATACATCGTTGCGCTAACCGATAACAGAATCGTTGACTGACGTTATTGGATTCCAAGGTGATATCAATACTTATATAATTGTACGTGATAAGAAAATAGTGCGAGTTTTTAACTCAATAGACTTATATAAACTTTAAATACTTTCAAGATATTTAAAAAACATTTTGACAAACAGAGATGCCGTTTTAAATTAATGGATCGAATAAATATATGGTGATAATTTTTTATAACTGACAAAAGATAGTACTTTTAACTAATAATTAAATTCGTTACGTAATTATATGATTAATATAAAACGTACAGAAAATAAATAAAAGCAATTCAACGAAGATTTGTTATGCCTTCTTACCTACAAATATAGATAAATACGTAGAACATATAGACAAGATTAAAATAATGTATAACAGATGACAATCATAAATCACGATAAGTTATAATTTAAGCGCAATACTTATTTACTAAAAATTATAATATAACTAGATTAAACATTGAAGACAAAAAAATTAAGAAGAAAGAAACCATCACGGTTTTCATCGTCTCCTTGACCAATAAAAGATAAATAAAAAGATCCATAAACAAAGCAATAAGCCTTTTATCGACAGTAACATCTATAATGGATAAGAAAGATTAAGAAAGAATATAAAGATGCTGGAAGAGAGAATAAGAAAAATCAGAGAAATTCTCACAAAACTGAACGATAAAAAGATATCGCGGGTGTGATACCATGTTGCATATGACAATAACAATTTGCTCAATAATGAGGGCCGGAGATTAGGGGACGCTCAACAGACAAAGAGACGTGTAAATGCCTCGTCGGGTGGGGGTAGCGTCGGGAGTGCGGCAACAACACCTACGCATCGTAACAGACACGCCGGTACGGTGCAAGTAAAACGGCAACACACTCCTCGAACTCCTATAGCGTGGTCTGTAATTCTCTCCGCGACCTCCCAGACCCCGTTGTGGTGTATCCGAAGCCGCGTGGCGCTAGCTTCGTGTCTCGGAGAGGCGGCTGGACTCTTCCACCGCTACCACCACCGCCAGCACATCGTCACCACCACCATCCCCTGCTGACGGTCGACCGAGCGGCCGACTCTGACAGTAGCTCGGCCGACCGATGACAGCCGAGGCGTCAGTCCTCAGTGCGCCAGCGTGCCGTATGGAGCGGTGGCACGCGCGTTAACGTGCGGAGCAGCACGCGTGGACGGCCAGCTGTCAAACTGTCTGCGTATCGCTCCGACGATTCCGGCGAATCCCATTTAAGTGAATCATTGCCTGTCTATTTCGGGGTCAAGTGATCGTGCTATATTGTATTTCTGATTTCCGACAGACCGTGTCTTCGTCACGCAATCCGCGCGTAATTCCCGCGCACGTATAGTTTTTAAAAGATGTGCGTCGTCTTTGACATCACGAAACCGGCATCGAACGGCTTTTACCGAGAAGACGTTCAGCGTGCGTACGCGAGTTACTCGTAAAGAGAACGCGTTGCAAAAGGATACACTCTGTTCTCACTCCTAAAGAGTGACGCACGAGGAGCAACGCGATGACGGAGCTGGCTAAAGAGGCATTCACCTCCCGCAACTACCACTTGGCGGTCGAGCTGTACGAGAGATGTCTGAAACAGCAAGGATCGAGCTACGAGGTGCTGCTTGGTTACGGTGACTCCTTGGTCAAGTGCGGTCGTATCAGGGAGTCTATTGAGATCTACTCCAGATGCTCAACGGCGATGTCCGTGCCGGCCGACAGACTGAAACACCTGGCAACCGCGCTCCTGGAGGACATGGTCGGTATCGGAGCGAACCCCAGACGGAGGCTCGAGACATCCTTCGCGTGTCCCCTATGTGAAGGCACCCTCTACCAACCGATGACCGCCGGCTGTGGTCACACGTACTGTAGAAACTGCGTGCATCCGTCAAAGAACTGTCGCGTATGTGGAATTAAAATCGCTATTGTGAGTGAAACGAATGTGCTAGTGCAAAGACTTGTGGAGAGATGGTGGCCACGAGAAGTGGAAGCCAGTCGGGCGAGGCATGAGGGTGATATTCTCATGAGGAAGGGTCACCTAGGTCAAGCACTGGAGAGATACAACCTGGCAGTTCATCTCGGTAAGAAATCACCTTATCTCCTTGTGACGCTCCTTTGTCTCTCGATGAATATTTAAGTCGTATCACGTATTTAATATATCGGTGCTCTTTATCAATAACATGATGTGCGCCTAAAGGTTCCGTTTTATTGAATAGAATAGGAAAAAAGGTTTTTATTGTGTGATTAATGATTTCTAATTAACGGAAATTAATTTTCTTTTGTGTTTCAATGACAAAAATATTTTAGATATGATATTTAGTCTTTATAGAAAAAGAAATTTATTTAAAGCTTTGCTTTGTGAGATACACTTAATAAAACCTTGTATATATTGGAAATTTTTAGCCACAAAACTTAATTTCTTAGATGCAAAAGATCTTTTCGACACTTTTAAGTATTTTTCATAGAATCCCTCTAACGCTTTATGTTATTTAAGAAGTAAGAAATGCTTACAAAAAAAATATTAGTAACTTAGAAGAAAATGAAACGATTTTTAAAAAATATATATTGTATGACAGAAAAATATATTAAAATAGAATAAATTACAAATGATAATAATAATAAAAACGTTTTAATATTACTTAATATATATATATATATATATGTGTGCGTGTGTGTGTGTGTGTATATGTATATATAACAACACCTAAGAAAAATATCTAAAAGTATTGCTTAATGACTATGAATCATTAAAATCTATTATCAAATTTTGATGTTTTCTATTTGAATCATATTGCTTATCAGTTTGATGTATCATATATGAATGTCACAATTTCAACAATGCTTTTTGATCACAAAATGCTTCTCATTCATTTAGTTTTAATTGAAATTAAAATTAGTTCAACTGGATTGTGTCAAATTTAATTTTCCTACAAAGAAATAACATTAAAAACGATTCTTAAAAATCAGGTGACACCATTTTTAATTTTTCTGTTTGCAAGCAAAGGATAAAAACATGTGGTTATATAAAGATTATTACGAAACACCTAATCTGAATAATATTTCAGGCGAGTCGATAGACTAAAAGTATATTGGTTTCATTCGCATTTTATAATCTGCCACGATTTAATCAAAATCATGAACATTTAGTACTAAAAAAGCATCTTGTTTAGAAAGGAATACATTCCTACTTTATCTGGATTAATGCAAGTAGTTGCTTAAAGAACAGGATATATTTATGGATTTAATGTGGAAATATTAGACAGCAACAAAGTAAACTTGCTGCGATATATACATACACACACACACACATACATATATATATATATATATATATATAGAGAGAGCGAGATCTATGTACATATCTATAAATATATATATCTATAAATATATATATATCTTTCGTAATAAGATTCATTCTTTCACGTATATTTGTTGTTTTTTTTCTTATTCACTTCTGTATCTTGTTTTTTATCACTCCAAGCTAAAGAGACTCCGATTATTGACCTCGGTGTAATTAATTCACTCACATCTGTTTTCTGTCGTTTAAGGTTTCAATTACAAATCCTATGACACTTAAAAATCGAAGATGACTCAAAACTAGAGTCGAAACGTACGAGAAACAAATTTATAAACGTCATCGAAATAAAGGTTGCTTGACTTTGTAATATATATTTATAATTATTCGCAAATTATAATCAGCGGTTGACTCACATTATCTGTCATATTTGTTTTTAATTTATTCATTAATTTGCATTAATTCATGAGTCGTTAACCAAACTTAATAGGTTTGTGCTATTTTATTTATTTTTTTCTTAAAAATAGACTTCTTTTTAATGAAAATTTTATAGTAAACTATCATTTATTACAAAAATTTTATATTTTCCAATATTAAATGGATAACTTTTACATAAATAAAGTCTTTGTTTAAATAATTTAATGTAAAGTTATATTAGTATTAGCTCAATATTTTGAAAATATTTCTATATAAAGTAAGGTAATGAAATTAATCATACAACGTATTGTTCACGTTTATTATTTTGTAAATTATGTTTACAAATTAATATAATGATAAAATTGTAAATCTTATTTGTTGGCTTATTAATTAAATATATTAAAACATACGAAATTATTCTTATAACATAAAATATTATTATTATATTATTCTATGAGATTAAATATGTAAAATTTTATTGCTTAGTTTTAAATTGATTTCAACAGCATTTTATAATTTTTATACATATTATACATACAAAAAAATCATTTAAAAAGGTAGTCATCTTACTTTTTGGTTAAAATATTTAGCATTGATGATTTTGAGAACATACAAAATTTTAAGACAACAAAGAATATCGCTGATTTCTGAATATTATTTATGTTTGAATAATTTCTTTGGTAAAATCTGGGAAGTAATGTAAAGATGATTTATGTTTCGAAAAACAAACAAAAGTCTCTGCGCACGTTAGAGACGAATAGCAGAAATTGAAATTGCACGTTTGATGTTTAACCCTTAACTGCTCTGACGTGGAAGAATTTTAGTCACTGAAAAATTTTTAACTCTATATATCACGAAATATTTTATACATTTTATCTACAAATACAAAAAGCTTATTTAAAAATGTGTTATTGATTATACTTATAATATAATTTTTGTTATTCAATATTAATTTGATACAAACGGAATACTACAATATAAATTTTATTGTTGGAAAAACGATGATTTCTTTTTTACTAATGATTTTTGCTAATCTTTAATTATAAATTACGTAAAGTCTTTATTTAAGCATAAATGCTAATATAATAATATAGTTTTGACAAATAATACAGTTTTAAAGCAATTAAATATTAAAAATAAATTATTGAGTTACATTCTGGTACAAGCAAACGAGTAGTGAGATAGGTCAACGAATGATATGTTTCTAGATATAAACTTGATAATTGTTCAGCAATTCTATAATTATATGTTTGCAAAGATAAACGTTTTACATGACATAATTTTTCATTAGAAGTTAAAAATTATCGAATTTCATCTTTATTGAGCTTTACCCTCAATTTTTGTTATTCATTATATTTAATTGTTTCCATAACAAATATATTGATTTTATTTTAAATGTAATAATTTTCCACAGAAATTCAATTTATAATTTATAACTGGTATTTCACATAATTAGAAATAAAAAAATCAAAGGTAAAAAACCGACAGTCGTATCACAAAGAAAAAGAAAATGAAATATAAATGTTTACATCAGCCTTGCATATCTATCTTATTTTTAAATTAATAAATAGGTTAATTGAATTAGATTGTCATATACATATATGTATATATACACTGTTGCTATACTATATAATTTTCTCTTGCTTTTCTTTTTAATGATTGTAATTACGTGTAATAATTCGTATAAAACTATTGCTGTGATAAGACAAAAAGACCCAAATTGAATACTGAAATCCGTATTCTTTTATGCATACTCGAGTGCACCGAATGTGTAAAATGCGTGGAAAGGGAGGCCTCCGTGTTCGACTACGACGACGACGCCGTTAAGTTCACGGCCAGTCCGAAGCGGTTCTTACATAACGTTTCTTGGAGATATCGGTCTGAATCGACGACGTCCCATCCGGAGACACGCTACGTCTATTCTATGAGATATAGCATATAAATATTTACGCGTTCTGAATCAATTCCTCACACCTTTCAATGTTTAACTTGCAAAACCATATTTTAGAATGCTAAATTCTTTTTTCATCATCAGCATTAAATGCACTACTTTTGTACATGTATATGATTGAAAGTATAAAAATATTAAACATTTATGATAATTCAGAATTATAATACTGAAATTTAACAAGACATTATTAATTTTCATTGACACCGAGTTAATGTATTTGAAATAATTTTTGTTGCGAGCCATGGCTAAATGATCGATCACATCATCTCAACTTCCTTCGTGTCGCTTTTTGAAGCGTATTATAGTTATATCTATCTCTCTCTTCGAGGCTATCAAGCAACAGAATTACCAAGAACAATGACGCGTATACGCGATAACAAGTGAGCGCTTCATGACTAATCGACCTCGCCAAGATCGTCCTTGTTATCTTTGTCATCACGCGTACCTTGAAATAGGATCTTTTACGAGAAAAATATTTAAGGGATTATGTATTGTAAAACACATATTGAGTTAGGTCTTCATCGCTTAAGTTTGCTATTTACCAATAATCAATAATAAGATTTTAACGAACATAAATTCAAGAATTATTTGAAAGAAATACTATCATATTAACAATTCATAACGGGAATAAAATAATAAGAAAAATATAAAAACAATTATATAACAGAGTAAGAATATTGGAAGAAAAAATGAACGTATGCAAATATGTAGATACAAAATATAAGATGCTGCTTTGATGTATTTGATACCTTGAATTGAAAAGAGTGAAACTATACGTGAAGAGAAAAAGACGTACACAATGATTATAAACCAATGTAAACAAACTCAATAAACGCAATGATAATCGCAGTATATCGGTGTAAGATTTCCTCGATAAATGCGATTAGCAAGTGACGTAGTTGTTTACACACATGTGACGCGTAAATATTGCATACAGCATTGAATCGGAATCTTCGTGAATATATTACACTATACAATAAATCGTCGAGTTAAAACGCGAAGATTACGTAAAACAACGTTATCGCTCATATGTTTACTAACGAGCGATTCTACGTGAAAACGAAATTTTAAAGATCGACAAAGAAGATCTTGCTAGGAATAAAACGGGTTATATGTATATAAATATATGTACGGTAGCCATACTACCCTCGGTCGCACCTGCATCATTCACCTGGCCTACAGGTTGATTACGGTAGTTTTAATAACGATCTTCAGTGACGCCGTACACTATACTTTAGAACGAAACTCGTTGGCACGAAAGAAAATGTATCTCATTTCGTTAGTAAATTATGTAATAGATGAGGAAATAATTACAGAGTTAAATCTTTTATATGAAATTCTTCGTCTTAAAAAAATCTCTGAAAATTTTGTTTAATGAAATATTTAAAATATATATCGTTAATTATTGTAAATCGTTA